TATCGCCAACTCTCATAGATGGAGAAGAGTACGTAAAGCATTATTTTTCAAAAAATAAATTCGTCATTCAGTTTACATGTATCACACATCCTGCGTTCGACAACAATGTGCACGATTTTCCTGCAAGAGGTGATCACAGCTACCACCTGTTCACTTCTTGTGTTCTCGCAAATATTGACCGTTTGGTAATGCTACCAATTTCCATTGGAAGCTTTGAAGTCAGCGTGCGGGGGGAGTTAAGTTTTGTAGCGTGATGAAATTTCCTGGATAATTAGACCCGAGATAACGTTGTTTTAGGTTGCAGTAGCTAAAACCAGCGCCCGATCACGTCGTTGGTCGATCAGAGTTAACTGATGCCAATTAAACACTTGTAACTGTTAGTTGATCGCTTTTCTCTGCCTCCATCATCATTTGTTCCTCACGAATGTTATCGTAGACTGCGTCGCTTATCCTTTCGAATACGCAAGCTACGATAATTTCGAGTGAAGCATGAAACTATATGTTCCTTTGTATACCAATGCATTTTTCCTTCCATACTTTATTGCTCACCTGTTATTTTCCCTGGACTACTTAGAAAGGATTTCATTACTCTCTGTCGCGGTTTGGTGATTATCAGTCGTGCTTGTCCTATGCCTTTAAACACTCTGATCACAAAATTGTGCAATTTGCATATCACTTCATGTGGGAATTTCGCTCATAAGATACTCAATGACCCCAGTCATCCGCTCAATCCCGATTTATCGACTTGCTGTTCCCACGCTACAACCCGATCCAATTATCGCTGCTTGCCCTCCCGCATAAACATTTATCGCAACTGAACGGTTCCCTATCTGGTTCGTATTCTCACTGACACGATGAAGATCTGCAACGGACCAATTTTAAATCTTCAGAGATAAACATCTGTTTAGTTTTTACCATTGTTGTACATGAATTTTCATTTTATTTTTTATCCCATTTTAATGGGGGACACATTTTTGACTGAAATATAGGCACAGTTGCCTGCACAAGTCATTTATAATACAATACAATCAATGAGAAGAAAAAGACGAACCATACAATCAGCAAAAAGGGGCTTGCCAATATTACGCTAATCCACCACGCTGGACATCATGTTAAACGTGAGGGGGGGGCAATTCATTGCTACAGGGTAACGATGTCTCCATTTTTCTTTTCATTTTACTTCCTTTTATTGAATGCACATAGATACCATTTTTCAGGAAGGAGGAAGCGGCCAATCAAAGGGCTGCCCTGCAACACACAATGGGGAAAGTCAGACGGTGGTGGTGGGATTCGAACACTCCTCCTCCGGGGTGATAATTGGTGACGTTACCACCGGACCACCACCGCCTTTACACTTTGCAACCGTCCTCATTCTATCTACATCCACCCCATTAAGGGTGACTCCTGTTTTGGAACGTGCGCATGCACAGAAGCACTCAAACAGTTATGATACTTCCAATTTGTATAGTGGCTGATACATGTGCAACTACTAACAAACTCTAACGAAAGCAAGACTCAATGATATGGTCAAGTGGATGAAGAAAGAAAGAAAATGATGAATAAAGATTAAGTGTGAAGCTTTGTCAGTCAGAATTAATTATGAAACTATTTGTGTCGGGATGATGATAGCACATCCCCACCCCACCCCGATAATATAGTTTGGGGGCAGGTTGGAAACTAAGACCATAACGGCAAAAGGAAGCCACCAACTAGAGTAAACAAACTAAACCAGTGGTTTTGCACGCAGACGTATGCAACACATTTGAGGAGCCTTACACTGCTGCTTCACTTGGAGACAATATGTAGATCGTTTACCCAATTTTTCTCACTCATTCTGCAATCTAGCACGGGTGATCAAGGAGAACGAACGTATAGAACTGATACGTGGTTTTTCTCCGTCGTCGAACAAAACGAAACGAACCACCATTATATTTGACAAAAACTGTAACGTATTTCACCAACAATCGAACCACAACCAAGCAAGACAGGTCGAGATTGATGCGGTCAATAACTTATCCATACCGTTATCACAGGACATGGAATAACAACCGGGACGCTTTATTTTAGTCGCGCTCAGAGATCGCAAACAATCATCATCATAGGACCTTTGTCTCTGTTGTGAAAGTTATTGTACCATGCTTTGTTCAAAGATCAACGATTTATTATAGGAATAACTTACAAGCTCATGCATTTTTTGTGCCATAGGTTCGTGTTGTGGTTAAAAGACAGTGATATATACTCTTGTGTAAAATGTCACATTATACGGGCTTCTTCCACTGTTGCACGCAGCTTCACTTATGTTGTAATGTAACAGATGCTAATGCATCCTCAAATCTGTTTGAAAGATTTAATGCTTGGTGCACAGACGACGTGGGGTGGGAGAGAGTTCCAGGTCGAACACACTGACTGAGAATGACTGACGCCGGCATTTTGAGACCACTAATTTGAATGGATGTCCTCTAAGATGAAAGTTGGGTGATAATTTATTTGTGCTCAACACACATCTGGATTACTGGCTTGCTGTTTTCACCAGAGGTACACCACACGAGTCGGGCAAAGTGCAATCTTCTATCCAGAGATAAAGACGAATATCATGATTGTGCCAAATCTGCCTCCAGTTAGTAAACCGCATTTCCATATCTGCCATGTGATTTCGTCATTAACGTTATTAAAACTTGTTGCTTCAGAGGCAAGAGGAACGCTGTCGACGGCAGGAATAGGTTCCTGCCATTTTTTAAAGAAGTACTGTGCATTTGGATGAAGCTAGGCATAGTGCTATCAACGCACCGGAAGACCGCTCGAACGTCTAAAATTACTGTGGCAGATGGTCTTGGATACTCGTAGGAATACTTGACGAAGGATGACTTTCTGATCGATACTCTGACAAAAACCAGCCTGTCCATAGCGAACTAGCTTCTCGCGTGTTCTAATTAGCCTACCGAGTGAAAGAGAGACGTCAAAAGCTTGGGAACATCTGAACTGATCACTGTCGAATCAAACGAACCCAGGTCCTTGTGAAAACGTCCCCTCGCGATTTGATGTCAGCCAATTAGAAAGTAAACAGTATAAGCAGTGGAACGATTATCCCTACCCCGCCCACCCTATCTGATAGCTCTAGTTAGCGTCCATAAGTTGTGACACCTAAATTTGTACCATCATTATCTAGTATTGCGTGCAACAAGGTTTAACGACTTGCCAACAACCACTGCACACCTGGGTCTTCTTCGCTTGCGGGCTTCTTCCGCAATCTATCTGAGGTGTGTGCCGATAGCGTCTTTATATGATGCTTTTACACCCACCCACGCACCCTCGGATGAAATATGCCGGACCAGTTGATACCAATGAATGATTTACAATCACAGTTAATTTGAAACTATCACTCAATGTGAAACAAAATTTACAAAAAAAAGAAAAACAACAACAATCGGTTGCAAAGTTTATTCGAAAAGAAAAATAAACTCAGTGTTCTCACAGGACGGCCGAATGGTTTGGAGCGTAACTTGCTAGAAGTCGGGAAAATGTCCAGTAGGAGGAGGAGTACGAAGGACCGTGCGAACTGATTAGTACCAGATGCATACACGGCAATCACGTGAACCACTCCACCCCCCTGTTACGGTCCCCCTCGAAACATAGGAGATAAATACTGCTGTTTTATCCTGTTTTGTTCTCATCAATTCACCCTGTAGAACACTCCGATTGAGCCAGGGAGAAAAATCGGAAAACAGATTCCATCATATCACAAAAGGAGGAAAACCTTGCGTTAGGGTGAGAATAGGAAAGATACTAGACGGAATAACCAAGACAGCAGTCGGATATCGAACTGGAAGAATAGAGGACAAACAAAAGAGCGAATGAAACCGGTGAGCTTCGTCACTAAACCGCTGAAATGGAATGAACGAACCA